AATATCACCACTAACTGTTTATATATTTTTTTAACCTCCAGCTAATGATAGTAAATTCCCTTAGGTAATTAAGTGGTCTCATCCTATTTTCCCTCTAAATGCTTCAGCATTCAGTCATTTCATCTCTGTGTGAAGTCATCCTTCACTGCCAGCTCCTAGTGACTCCCCCCTTCCTCTCAGTGGCTCTATAGATTTTCTCCAAATGATAAATTGGACACGGGCAGCCACTAAGGTGTGACCAGGTGCCAAAGGAGTATAGCTTTTTGTCCTAATGGGCTTAATTATGCTCAAGACCTTTAAGATCTGTTTGGATAACTGCTAATAACCTTTTGGAGGATGTGGTGTTAAGAAAAGTTATATACAGATTTAAAATCCCTGTTCAAATAAAGAAGCCACTTCCTCCAACAGATACATAATAACATTCTCTGTTTGGAAGCTGGAAAGTTGCATCGATGTTTGTATGTTGCTCACTTTCTCTCTTTTGATTAAAGAAATGCACGGTTTCTAACCCATCCATCACCTCCACCCCTCCCCTCTCTCCCCAAACACTGAAACGGGTAACGCTTAATTTCGAGCCCATTCTCTGCTGTGGCACCGTGGTGAGCAGAAACTTGTGCAGCCGACTTTGTGGTGCACACTCACTCGACGACGATTGTGTATTTTGTTCCTCGCAGAAAGTCTTTTTTCTGTCGTGTGTCTTTGCAGTGACAGAGTGGAGATGAACCAGTTGGACGGATATTGTAGCGCGTAAAAATTGTGGATGGTTACTTTTGCGCAGCAACATTTAAAGGAGTATTTTGTCTCCAAAAGTTGCAGCACAGCACAAGAACGGGTCCGATCCTTCTCTCCGCAAACATACCGCCCGAAAGCAGGCTGGAAGACCACCGACTCCGGAGAACGCCGCGATTCCGCAGAGCGCAGATGATCGCAACTGGTGTTTGTGGCGTCGCGCTGGTGCTGGTGTTGGTGGTTCTGATCCCCGTCGTGGTGAACTCCGCCGGGAGCCCTGCCCGCTACGAGATGCTCGGATCCTGTCAAATGGTGTGCGACTCCCACGGGACCGCAGCCACGGCCACGGCCAAAGCGACCAACCCGATCAAAGAGAACCGTCTGGTCCAGTCGCTTCCGACGTTCATCCAAGGTCCTCAAGGAGAGCCGGGGCGCGCCGGGAGGATGGGTCCCAGGGGTCCGGTTGGCGAGACCGGACCACCTGGACCTGCTGGTCCTCCCGGAGAAAGAGGGGTACCGGGCCCACCGGGTCCACCCGGAGCCCCCGGAGCGAATGGCCCCACCGGTGCCATCAGCGCTGCCACTTACAACACAGTACCAAAGATAGCATTTTACGCAGGACTGAAGAAGCAGCATGAGGGTTATGAAGTGCTGAAATTCGACGACGTTGTCACAAACCTGGGGAACCACTACGATCCATCTTCAGGAAAATTCACCTGCTCAATACCGGGGATTTACTTCTTTGTTTACCATGTGCTGATGCGAGGCGGGGATGGAACCAGCATGTGGGCTGACCTCTGTAAAAACAACCAGGTAGGACGCTTCATGGTATAATTATATAGACTAACAATAAATTAGAATTATTACAATTCGTCTTTTTGTACAATAAAAATTAAATTTTACGGAGAGTTTCCAACAAATTTGGAATTTCCGCATTTTTACGCACAACTTTTACGCACGGTTGTTCAAAGGAAGACTCCCCCAAGAAGGCATTTTCCATAGAGTGTAATATGAAAAGAATTGTTTGAGGGCTGAAATGAAATGAACAGGTCTGTCATCGGTGACCCGACCTCACGCAATTGAGCTGTTAGTCTTCAAAATAAAAGACACGTTTCATTACAGAACATGGCACATTTCTCTTCCAGGTGAGAGCCAGCGCCATCGCCCAGGACGCCGACCAGAACTACGACTACGCAAGCAACAGTGTTGTCCTGCACCTGGAGCCCGGGGACGAGATTTACATTAAACTGGACGGCGGGAAGGCGCACGGGGGCAACAACAACAAGTACAGCACGTTCTCCGGGTTCATGTTGTACGCTGATTGAAACACGGAGACGCTGCGCTGTGGGAGGGGATCCACTCTGCACATAGCTTTTTGCTTCATTGCTCAGTCTCGGTTCGATGTCAGTTGGATTATTAGAGACAGAGCTCACCATTTCCATATTGCAAACGACCCAAGGATGATGTGAAGGAAGGCAAGCGAAGAACAAATGAAAGAGTAAAGGACTGTACTTAGCAATAGTGATGCTCTCACAGTGTAATCACAGGATAGGCAGAGTGAATTTTAATTTGTACATCTTTGAATTGTTCCCTTGTCAGATTGATTCTCGCACTTTGAATGAACTCCCGCTTTACAAATTCAGTTTGCTGACATGTCAAACATACTGTAGATGCCGTGGTAACACATACTGAGTGACTGTAGATTAAAAGCTCAATGTACTGGCCCTTTAGCATTGAATTGTAGATGCTAAAATGATACTCACATAATCACCACTCTGTTCTCAGTGTTGTTAGTTCACGTGCGTGCTTTATTCTTTCAAAACAAATCTGTGATAGTTGTTGCATATTGGGTGAAAATGTTTAAACCTGTAGTGATGCATGAATATAACGATTTAACATTTGAAACTCTGAGCAGCATAGAAACACTTGGAGAAGTTGAAATCTGTAAAGGGCCCTTCTGATGTTCACATTGAAGCACTGTCTCAAAAATAATCAGCGCCACTCATTTTTCTTGTCTGTCTCAATGTGACAGCTGGTTGGGGTGACGGGGGAGGTCTGGTAGTTAGTCACAATCACAAAACTGGACAGTCGCTCGGACAGAAATGTTTCCTCCAGCTCAACAACATTCATCGATCTGCCCGCCGATTGTCAAGCCCTTCCAGATAAGACTGTCGGCCACAACGTTAAATGTATTGTAAAGTGAAAGCCTCCGGCTCACTTTGTAATCCTCTCGGAAGATTAATCAAAAGTTATATGTTTTTTTTCTCCGCGGTGCACAGTCAGCTGTTGCAATCACACCATTGATCATGTGGCGAAGTCACCCTGCGAAGCCACCTGTTTCCAGGTGAGAGGAGAACATGTCCTTCATCTGGGCCTGCCAGACAGTCAGCCTCCCATAGACAGCCAGACACCCACTGAGGGGCGACAGGACAACTCATCTAACACGAGCCACATTGTGTCGAGAGTCGAGCAGCATACTGATTACCGACGCACTCATTATTTACCTCCCATAAAGCGTGTTTGCAGAAATGTCACTTACAAATACAAAGAAAGCAGCATCGGCGCAGTCATTGAAAACCGAAGATGAATTAGCACCATGTGTGTGAGCACCGCCGTCGACAATACCTCCAAAAAATAGAGAAAATGTGTCTTAGATTGCATTCACATTCCTGCAGACAAGAAAAACCTGCAGCGATGGGACCAAAACAACACGGCTAATGAGAAGCACTGTGAAAGTGAATAATGTATAAAATGAAGTTCTACTTAATAAGCGTCTCTCAGATGAGTGAAACAACCGCTTGTAATTATTTTTCCAAAGTTAAGAAACATTTTGCTTTGCTGAAAAATTTAGAAACGTGGACATTAAAGACAAATTTACCGGAGTTATATAGCAGATATTCATTGTGGGGTGTGCGGTCAACATCTGGAGATAAAATAATCGTTACATGAAAACTCCTGTCTCGCTTCTCTTTTTTGATTTTGGCTTTATTTGAAGGTGAGCCAGCGTTTCGGGTTGTCGATGAGAATCTTGTCCACCTGGTGCTGAGAGATGCCCCTCATGAGCATCTTCGGCACAATGTTCTTCAGGATGTGAGAGTAGCCGTGGCCGCCGTATTTGGTCAGGCGGTTCTTGGTGTGGATGTCGTGCGCGATCACGATCTTGTCCTCGTAGCCCTCCTTCACCAGGAGCGCCAAGCTGAACGCGACACAAAGACATCAGTGAAAAACCGCGGGACCTTGAACGAAAACACGACTGGCGGTTTAAAGCTTAAGAGCGTACTGTAATAGCAAATCAACCTTCATGCATTGTTACACCTGTCTTTTTGAGAGTGCCGACAAACATCTGGACTGAATGTGAATATCACAGGGATCGTGTCTCTCATCTGTGTTACCCTCCTGTTGACACCCTTCTCCCAAAGCTGAGGTGGGAGATTAGTGTCTCACAGCTTTTATGAAACCCCCCCTCCCCACAAAAATAACTGTGGGACAAACTCTTCTCTCCACAGGGAGTGAAACACAAAACTGGCATTTTAGTCCATATTAAATACTACTGATGTGGAGTCTAACTCCAAATACTGAATTCAAAGGGATACACGGAATAAAAAGGAGGAGAAGAGTGGGACAGTTGTGTATTCATTGGAGACACATCATGTATCTAAGACCTTGTTCAGAGCTGGTTTTAATATCCATCCTGAGTGGTACGATAAAAAATGGTCGGCACTAAGTTCAGATCTAAAGGCGCCCCGACGCGTCCTGAGATCAGATCACTCAGATCACATTCGGGGGTGCTCTGGGAGGCAAGTCAGATGTATTTTAATGTTTCCAAGTCATCACATGTTCACAGTAACAACACAGATCAGCTCACACAGATCAGCTCACAGATCAACACTTTTCTTAAATCTGTCAAATCTTTCATTCTGCCCCTCCTGGCTGTGCCCGCTCTATCCCTCCGACGCTCTCTCTCTGGCTTGCTCGCACTGACACAACAAACACAAAGACATCTGTAAACTCAAACTGGGTAAAAACAACGGTTTTCTGTAACACTCATGACGTATGTGTGTATTTGCATATAGAGCGGGAAAGTGATATCTTCACGCTGCCTGCTCAGGACGGATATTTAAACCAGGTCTGAACGGGACCGAGATCTGATGTATATATAATCACAAGAATAATCATCCTTCAAAGTTTAAAATACTCACGCCTTCACTCTCTGACTGTCGCTGGGCATGTCCACCTCCAGGTTGTAAGGGTAGTTTAGCATCTCCGTTCCGAACAGGTCGTATTCCAGATAACTCCCCAGTTTGGCGAACTCCAGCAGTTCACCCTCATCGAATATAGTCCTGCAGTAAAAGAGCAGAATGGAGGATTAAGTCAAGGAGCTTCATGCTTTATATTTTTTTCTTATATTGGGTAAAAGTTTTTTGTTCGAAGCAGCTTCTGTAACTTTCATGAGCAGAGATTCAACTGATTTATTAGAAAAAGCAGATTTAAGAAACATTATTAAAATAAACATGTGAAAGATTAGTTTGTTAGATTTCTTTGCAACAAGCTCAGACAAATGTCCTTCAACTAAACAGAATGAGACAAATGGGGAGAAAGTGCAAATTAGCTGATGATGAACAAAGCGCAGTGTTAAAGTCCTGTGTTTGCCCTTCAAATTCAATTCTCCCCTTATTCACTGACACATAGACAAGAAGAGAGTTGCTTCTGTTCCAGCAAATACGTGAAATTAATGAAAAATCGATGCAAACACTTTGCTTTTAATAGACCTGAGGAGAAAACACAAACACTTTGCAGATGAGTGATATCTGTAGCAGGGCTAAGTGGAAAATCCTAATCTTAACCAATAAAAACTTTGTGTTGAAAAATCTTAATACGCTGTCAAACATTTATTGAAGTTCGCTGACTCAGCACTGACTTCTTACCTGTCCAGGTGAGACATGACAGTTTTGCCGATGTCACCGCCGGCCTCCTGCAGAATCCGGATGACTTCGGCCGGGGCGGAGGGATTTCTGCCAGGATGAATGATGACAGGACACCCGAGCTGAGCCTGAGCGTGAGCCGTGGCCCTCAGCACCTTCTTCTCGCTCTCGGTGATGGGCCAGCCGGTGCCGATCTCTCCGATCACACCGCAGCGGATGTCCGTCCCGTCTGCGCTGTGAAGCACCTCCCCGACGATGATGTCCGTGAGCTGACGTGTAGGAGATCAGGAGTTAGATGAGGAAGGAAACGCTGTTCTTTACACGAGCACCTGACATATGTAATAAAATGATTAGAGACTGATCAATACCGCAGACGAGCCGGTATTTCTTTTTATAGATATTCAATATGCAGCAGATGTGGAAATAGTGACAATACATAGATTCATGCTACACAAGGAGAAAATATGCTTGTCACAGAATTTAGCTACTAACTCATTTGTCGTCCGTGTGCAGGTGAACAAACTAAATGTTTCTGAATCCTGAGACATTCAGATCATTTCCAGGTTTACGTGAAAATAGAGCTTTTCACTGTGGGTTCAGATTTGAACTTGACTGTATCAGGTGAATTTTCTACACCGGAACATTTCACTGCATGAAATCGTCTTTAAGAATTCTTTATCAGGCGGGCTCTAAAAATCTTTTTTTTCTGATTTCTCTCTTCTGTTTCTTTAAAAAACTTGATGTTCATGAAGGGAGCACATAGACTACGAAGATGGACACATGACAGCAATTCAGAGGTTAAAGCATCTTGAATTCCCCCTGGTGGCTGGCTGCAGTATAGGTCATAAATCCCACCTTCTCCATGAGAGTAGATGGGACATGGACCAAAATAAAAAGTCACTTTAGTCAATGGTCAATTTGTTAAACGTGTGTAGGTGGGACCACATTCGAATCGTCCTCTGTAACACACCTTCTCCACGCTCATCTTCTTCGTGGCCTCAGAGTGGGTGCAGTCAACGTAGTACCCCGCTCCCGCAATGACGTGCACCCCGGTGTCTTTGGCCAGCTGTCGGAGGGTGGGCAGGTCCCGGTCGATGCCGGTGGTGGTGTTCTCCACTATCGTGCCCCCGCCTGCCTTCCTGTACGCCAGCAGCTCGTCCCGCACTGCACCGGTCTCCTGCATCAGGAGCAGGTTCTCGTGGCAGCAGTAGGGGTTCTGCCTCAGCCAGTGCATGTGCTGCATTTGGAAGGGGTTCTCCGCCACCGCCTCGTCGCCCAGGGGAGGAGGGAAGTAGCAGCACTCGAAGGTCATGGTCAGGTGCTCGTGGGTCATGGTGCGGCCCAGCTGGTCCGGATCCAGAAGACCCAGGACAGATTGCACTTTTCCTGACAACTCAGACATGATTCTCCGATCAGTGTTCAGCGCTCCACCGCAGCCTGAAAGAAACACAGGTCATCGATTCATTAACAGCTCAGACAAACAGTGTTCCATCTCTCAGAAACCCCTAACCCACAGAAAACTTTCTAGACAAACCTGAAAACTTTGTGTACATCCTACCTGGTTTAACTGCAATGAAGATTTTAAAGTCAATGATGAAGTTGGTTTATGTATGAGTTTGAATGATTTACTGAGCTGGTGTTGTTTTTTCATACATTGCACGTCGACCATTTCAGAGGTCTGTTAAGCAATCGACAAAATCTTTAGACCGAGTCCACAACTTTTCAAAAACAAAAACTTGGCAGTTCCGCTCAATATAAAGCATTACAGCAACAACAACAAAATATTGTCACAAGACAACTTGCTAAAGAGGAAGTGATTCTATGAATGTTGCTGCCAAAATAATCAAACTATAATTTGGTGGATTTGACCCACACTTTGACCCAGTTGCTGATCGCTGCTGTAGTTTATCTGTGGATGTAGAAGAATTTTAATGATACTGAACGTCCAGTCTGTCCAAATTGCACCAAATTGGACACGGCACTTTCTCGGGTCATTAACAATCAACACGTGTGAAGCCGATAACATGAACAGTTGGTCCACACACACACACACACACAAAGACAGATGTTTGTGGAATTTGTAGATGAAGGATTCATCTCAGACAATGACTTCATGTCGTTAGTCTTAAACATGTTTTTGTTTCTGGATTCACTCAAACACTTTCTTGAAACACTGGCTTATTTATATGCAGGTCAATCATATGAACTTCAAACTGGGACCAAAATCACTTTGGTCTACATCTGTAAAAATGCAAAATATGGTAAACCACACTGTGAGCTGTGCATCAAAGCTTTAACAGGTACATTTGTAATGGGTCGTAACAGCCTGTAGTTACAGGAGCGTTGCAGGAGACGACGACAGACTAAATCTATCACACGTGTATTTTAACCATTTATTATATTTAAACAATTTGTTGTGCAGCACTTTCTACATTGTGTTGAAAAGTGGCAGATACATAAATGTATAACTTCAACTCAGGAGTGTGTTTTTGTATTGAGGAGCTCTGACAACTCATTGACCGGACTGTCCTCACAGTGCAGGACACAGACAGACCTTTGGACCTCACAGCACCAAGTCCTCATTGAACCTCGTGTCTAACGGGAGTCTGAGTTAATCCGATCACTTCCTTGTTGTCGTATTTGTTCTATTTCAATGAACATGTGCAACTTCTGCAGCAGAGTCAACAACAATCACGACGAGCGACACGTTCGCCTCCACGTCTGGAAACTGGAGTCAGAGCTGCAACGTGAGAGAAGAGTTTCATCCACGCGGATCCTGAGAAGAATGTGGACTGACCTTGTTTTAGTTTCTCTGCGGTTCTGCAGAGATCCTCGCTCCTCCACCTGTCAACAAGAAAACAGCTGACCCGCTGCTCGTGCGGCTTCTTCTTCTCTCTCTGACTCTCCTCTCGGCTTCCCCCTGCAGGCTGGAAGTGGGTCTGCAGCTCCTCCACAGACTGAATCTGCTGATAAATTTAAATAAATAATAATGATAACAATGATAATATAATAATTTCTGTTGTCGTTGTCGTTGATAATCTGATGTACATAGAAATGTATTTGAGTTTTTCATATTGAGCTTTATTTTCTTTAAGTCCCCAATACTTTTTATTGTACTGTTGACTTATGTATTATGATTAAAACTTTAACTTAAGTATAACAATAATAAGAATGATAAAAATTAATACTGAAAAAAAAACCATCAATGACATCTTTTACAATCTCTAACCCTTGTTTGGATTCTACAGGCTTCTCAATCATCTTTAAAATAAATGATACAACATGTCACCACAGGGACTTTATACCAGTTGATATGATACGATACATTAGAGTTCACTTGGATACAATATGTTACAATATAATATAATACGATACAATACGATATCATATAATATGATACGATATGTTACAATATAATATGATGCTTGATTTTCTTTTTTAACTTTTACTTAGTTTTTTATCCGGATCACTGAGCTTCATGAGGAAACAGCTAAATCAAACCAGTATTAAAATCATCACATTTCATCATTTTTTGATTTAAGTTTTTAAAAGGAGAGTCTAAAGGAAATTTCACTTCAAGTAAAATCAGGAAAGTCTATGACAAAAAAGATTTTAAGAAAGGACTTACAACTAACTACTGAGTCAGACAACTTCATATAGATCTTTTTTGATTTTCAGTCAACAATAAAAATATCCCAACCCCTAATAATTCACTGGATGCTAAAGCTGAACATGAAACTGCTCCTCCTTTAATATCTACCTTGTATTTCATCGTTCTGTCTGTCCATAAAAAAATCCTCCTCACTGTTTCCATTTATATTTCTTTCATTTTGCTGCCCCAGAGAGGTTTGTGTACATTCCAGTCCCCTACACAAACAACTCGTGTCCATTATTTGTTCTATAACCTCCTGCAACTCCCTGATGTTAATTGGCAAACTGGGATTATAGAAGGTTACGATGTTCACCCATCTGTGATTTCCCCCACACCCTTACTACCACACACTGGATCTTACAAATGCTCCACAGCCTCCTCCTGCTTTATCATTTCGATCCTGGCTAATATTTCCATACACTGGAACCACAAAGTCTCAACATGGCTTAAGTCGAGTTTCCTGGATCCACAAAGCAGCTGAATACGTCCACAAATCTTTTTAACTCCTGCCAATTTGCAGCCAAATCTCATTCTGTTCCCTGGCAAAATATAAACCATCATCAACCTTCATTTATTTCCATGATTTGCTCTTAATTTCAACCATCTCTCATTTCTGTTACCTTTCTTTTTCTAATGCTCCCTCTCTCTTTCCCCTCCAGATTCTGCCTCATGAATGTGTGTTTGTAATTCCTCTGGGCCTAGTTTTACCCTCAGAAGGAAGACAAATAAATCCACAAATAAAACTGTTGGTTATATTTGGTGGCGGAATGGGGTGGGGACGCTTGTAGCAGTTCATTAAAAATGTCAGGTTCAGAGGTTGAGCATGTATGCTGTCAGTTGATGGCCCACAATGCAATGCACCCCAGAGACAACCATGTACATCTGCCACAACGCTGACAGTGATTGAACAATTTAGTCCAAATATGGACACACACACACACACACACACACACGCTCATACAAACACATACAGCAGTCGTTTTTGTTTGCTAGAAAACTCACCTCATTAGTGATGCAGGTGCTGATGATGTGCTTGACGTTACTTCACATAATCTGTGATTATGAGCCGACGTTAAAGTGAGTTTAATTAGTTTTTATTTAAATGCTGCGTAAAGTTTGCGACATCAAGACCCGTGGTCTCTGTGTCATGTTTACTGTCCTCACAAAACAGTTTGTCTGAAAAAGTTATGCACATATTTACATGGCTTCATTAGCTGAGTAAAATAGTAGTTGTAAAATATATCTCAATAGTCCATCAATCAATGAGGTCGAGTTTTTGACTCTTCAATAAGACAACAGCAAAAGTCCCTAATCAAAGTCACTGACAAATTGTTGTTATAGTTGTAATCCATCAGGTCTGGAATTGTAAATGTGAAAATCGGTTAATGACTGAGGACAATATGCTCTGCAGCACAGAAGGTCAAAGGTCAGATAGTCAACTCCAGGGGTTTCCTGATAAACACATTGACAAGAGGAAGATGAAAACCAACCACAACCTGCAGATGATTAATGACTCCTGAGAAATCAGTGAAGCATTCCTGAACAATAACAAAGCTATGGCTCATTTGAAAGTAACACCAACTATTTTAACCACAACTAATCGCAGAACTACACAGTCTCAACGTTTCCTTATCTTCGTATTGAGTTTAAAATCTGGCTCATATCACATTTCAGTGAGGATGATGAAGAGTTTGTGAGACAGACTGTGGCTCGTTTCGTTTCTGTGCCTCACGCAGAGCAGATGGTCTCCACAGCAGCGTCGCTGTAGCGGTGAACTGCCCTGTGAACACGTCACCATTCCACCGACCATCTCTGCAAACGGCCGAGCAGCCATCCGTCCTCATACTCTCGAAACTACGTGCCACCCATTTGTCGGCAAGATGATTGAAAGGAAGATTGCAGGTTTTAGTTTTAACGTGAAAAACTGGATTCATCCGTCTTGTCTTTTTTTGCTGTAAGGAGCAGAAAGTGCTCAGTTAATTATCGTTAACTGTTGATTCAAAATCTATGACTACATTTGAAAATCCACATGTTTAAACTGTCTTTAGTTAAGCTTTATTTATTTCTATCTCTGATTTACCAGTTTTATATTGTGTCTGTGTTTTAGCTTGTGTTTTTGTCTTTTATTGTGGAAAACACAAGCCTAATAACTTTACTTTACAGGCTCACTGTGCTTTGTGCTGCTTAGTTTGTTGTTATGTTATTTAACTCATAATAATTTAAGAATAATGTAATAATGTAATGCAGATCTAGAAAGGCAAGCTCAGTCCTCCTCCATTTATTTACATCAAATTTACATCTCTAGGAAAACGACTGACTCCTGGAGGCCCCGGGAGGAGAAATGGGTTGAGTGTTGTGGAATGGCGCCCTCTGCAGACAGAGAGGAGGATTACAAACAAAGATCAGTTGACTCCTATGGTTGACTCACAGTAGAACTTATTCAGTTAAGAGAATTGAATAGAATAAAATAAAATAAAATAGAGGTGATATAGAGAAAATATTGTATTGTACAGGACCTTATACATGTATATTTTATATATTGTATCATATAAGACTGTATATATTATAGATATTGTATCGTACAGACCTTACATTTAGTACATATTGTATTATGTAAGACTTTATGTATATGGTGTATATATAGTATTATATATAGTATTGCATACGACCATATATATTCTATATACTGTATCATATGAGACATTAGCTTATATCCATGGCTAAACTTTATTGTGGTGATAGTAAAGTTCGTCCTTTCAAAATAAGTTTCATGCACTCATCAAACCACACCCATGACCACACCCACCCCCTGGTTCTGTTCTGCCAATCAGATTCTTACTTTAGATATAGAGAGTAAAAGTCGTGATGGCGCCTCCCTGTGGACAGGAGTGTGTCACACAACACCTGGCAGACACTGGACCTCTGACTGTTTCCTGTGAGCGTGAGCACATGAGGCCTGGAGGTGAGTCCAACACTTCTTCTTGGGATTTGTTTGGACAGATGCTTCACTAGTGGATGAGAAGCTGAAGTGAACAGAGCTGAAACATCAGCAGAGATCCTCCTGGTTTTGTTTTGGAAAGATCTTGAGATGATGAATGATCTGAGCTGATCTGTTTGTTTTTCGTTTGTCCCTGAAGAGGGTTCTGTCCTTGTTTCCCTTATTGTTCTGAATATCATTCAGACTTTTGTCTTTCTTTTCTCTCTGCTCTATATTGCGACTCCTTGCGTTTGCAGACAAATGTTTTTTAAATTCAACATGACAAGTTGCTCTGTGGTTGAAGTTGATTCAACATTAAATAAATATGTCCGCAGCCGTCACAGTTAACATGTTGAAAAAAGAACCACAGAATCACTGGAGTAATGTTTTTGCACTGAAACATCATTTAATAAATATTGACTGTGAAGGCCGACAGCCTATTTTCCCTCCTAAATATTTGAAACCCTGCAGAGATTAGAGAACAAACCGTGTTTAAGAGGGGACACGTGTATTTTACATGTATGTATCTCACTGTGATGGATTCAGATTCTCTGGATTTACGTGATAAAGAACTAGATTTGTATGAAATGAGGAAGTAACTTTCGGAGGGAAACCAGAGGAAAGAGTGTCGGGCCTCAGCAGCAACAGTTCGATGGTCCCGTCAGCTCTCAGCAGACTGGAGAAGGAGCCAAGTTTGAATCTTTAAACTGAGGAAACACAAACAGATCAGAGATGTCAGGTTCTTTCTGTGTTCAGAACAAGGTAAGTTTTCTTTTTTAATGGAATTTTATTTGTTTTGATTAACACAACTGCATCATATACTGGACGGATGGTAATTTAAGGTGAATATAAGTAATATCATTAATACTCCACAGGCAAAGTAATGTTGAAAATATATACTACTCACTGTTTAATTTGCAGTATTTCTCAAGCTTATAAATCTTATTTGTTATGTCTGAGTTTACGGAACTTTTAATGATTGTGTATAAGAACGTTATGTAGAAATATTCTAATGTTTTTAATATATCCAAATTCACCTTTAAGGGAATGGGTGAATGGGTGAATGGGTGAATCTGCAGGTGAATGACTCCAGAGCTGCTCTGCCACTCAACTCTCATTCCATTTCTAGTCACCTATTTATTATCATCGTGCTTTCATTAAATCTGTTACTGTACTTTCATCAGATGATGCTTAAATAAAACCATAACATGGATGATTCTGGTTTTCTCTCCACTGTTTCTGTTGAGGTTAATATCTACTCATCCCGAGTCTGATTCTGCAAC